TATTACTGGGCTTCTCGATGAGTAAGACTGAGAAAATGTATGGCTATACTATAATGGAAAGAGTTTTTTCATTGCTACTATCAATCCACTTAGAGATCAAGAAAGTAATAGTCAGGTAAAGGAGAATGACAATTTCAAGTCTCATACTTGACCGAAATATCAAGTGACAAAAGGGATGTGATATGGTTGCATGATAGGTTACATCAGATCATTGATTCCCATGTAAATTGGGTAGTTGCAATGTCTTACTAGAGGCCTCTTGTGACTTGTGGGCTAATAGCATAATTAGGCTACTGCTAATTTCATTTGGGCCTATAGGGTCGCACACAAGGACAGCCTAACTCGAGCTATAATGTCCAAGTTCTTTGAATCTGAAATATATCTAGATTCAATGAATGTAATATAGGGTGAATAAATTATATACATATATATATATATATATATATTTGAGTATTCATTTGATAAATATTTATATATATTTATATGAAATATAAAATATAAAATATAATTATATATATATATATATATATATTTCGAAATATATATATATATATCTCCATATATCATATATATCATATATATACATGATATATGTATATGATATATAAAATTAAATATAGATAATATAATATATATATATTTTCAAAATATATATGTATATATATATTCGTGTATATATATAGTATAATATATATATGTGATATATATTATATTATATTATATTATATTATGTTAGTTTTAAATTTAATTTTATATGATAGATTAAATTTAATAACTAACATGATATGAGAGAATATCATGTCAATTTTATAATTTGAATTTATAAGATAAATTTGAATTAGATATGATATTATGAATTAAATTTAAGAGATAAATTTAATTAAATTTTTGTGGGCTTTTAAATGGAAGATGAAAACCCTTATCTATATATTATATATAGATAGGGACGTCCTTTATGAAGGAAGAGAGAGTTAGAAAAGTTTTGACGATAAAAACAATCTAAGAGCCATGAAACACCCTATAGAAAGAAAAATTAACGTTTAAAGAAGAACGGATGCTGGGAGCTCTAGCAAACTGTTCTAGTTAGAGAGTTATTCATGTGGATACCGATAGAGGGAGCAGATTTATGTTGTCAGCTCCTGAGATCCAAACTCTTGAAGAGAAAATGTGCCAACTTCAAAGAATTAAAAGGTAACTCTTCTATCCACCTTAACTTAAACGAGTTTGTTTAGTCCATATTAGGATAGAGACTTTAAAATTTTAATCTTTCACTGCGTCTCCCTATCCAACACTTAGGTCTCCTAATGGAAGTGTCTACTAGTTTAATTATGGAAATTGCTTGAGTGAAATAGGTTAAATTCCAAATGTTTAGGGTTTAAATTGATCATTAAAGCTAATGAAATAAAGAAAACAAGTTAGGGGAAGAATTAAAGTGTTTGAGAATGAAGTGTGAATAGGTAGGTTCCTAGAGCTTGAATTAGGAAGAATTCCTTGCCACTTAAGTCATTAACCAAGAATTATTCCCTCACTAGTAAAAAATACAACTAATTTCAATTAAACCTAGTTTGCTTTGGCTAATGACCCAAATTTAGTCCTAAATTAAGTAACCAAAGTCATGGCCATCACCTAAATGAAGACTCTTTGTGTGTTTTTATCTCACCAAGGCACAACCATTCTTCTCCTCTCATCACCCTCTTCTCATCCCCGCCATTTGATCATCCATCCAAGGTTGTTTGGATGAAAAGATAAGGTTAGGGTTTTAGAGAGAGAAATGAGAGAAAATGAAGAACAAGATGAACAAGAGAGAGAAAGTGAAAGATGAAATGAAGATGGTGAATTAATTGAGTGTTGAATCTAAATTGAGTCTGAGGGATGTGCATCTTGAGTTTGGATCAGATTTCTTCTCAAAATTAATTCTAAAATAAAATTAAAAGGCTAGAGAGCTTCACACTTTGTGCATATGCCCTTAGGTGGCACCTTTTTATTAGTTGGTGATAATTCCTGTGTTAATATGAATAATCCCATTCTTTGTACTTCAAAAATTAGATCTACCCCATCCATTAAACGTTTTCTCATGACACATATGGTGCATAGTGCCCTCTTGTATCTCCTTCACTAATTGATGCAAGTCCAAGTGTACATGTGTTACTTATATGTCACATGTTGGACAAAATTAAATCAAATAAATGTATGTGATATAATAATTTATATTTTGGAATATGGAATTAACTATTTATATGAGAAAAAAATAATAAAATGTATTTCAAGGGCTGCCCTATGTGAAAACACTCATGCAAACACATGCATAAAACCCTAATTAGGTCAACAAAGTCAACAAACCCAATTTACAATTTTTAATTAATATCTTCCAAACTCAATTGAATTTTGAAAGTATAATTTCATATTCATTCTAATGGGCATCAAACACATTTTGACTAATTTGCTTATACAGTTTCTCAAAATTTTAATTTTTGGACTAAAATACTCCTAGTGCACAACTTTGCCTCTTAGGTAATTTTCTCATAATTAAGATCATGAATGCACCAAATAGGGAATCAAACATGAAAAATGAGTCCTAACTAAATAAAAAGTGTGTAAATAATGTCTCTTATCACCTTTCTCACCTAAGATTCAAACCATAAACCTCTTGAATGGAATTGGTAACTTTAACCACCTTTCCAACATGACTTTTAGATATTGTAAAACAAAATATTACATATATTTATAGGTAATTTTTAAATTAATTTAAGTTATAATTTTTAATCATGAAAACAAATTAATGAAAGTACATAGAAAAGTTAAAAAGTAATTTTTTATGTGTAGAAAAATAATAAGCAATAATTCTTAAATCATATAGGAAAAAAAAGACTTCTAGGAAACATTTATATAGCCTATTAGAATAGGGAACAATGTGGAAATGTTGTGATAAAAGCACAGTTATAGGCAACAGTGTTTATTTTCACCATTCAAAAATTTTATTGCAACACTTAAAAATTGTTGCCTATTTTACTTTAAGAAAAAATTTTCAATTGCTGTCAAATATTTGTTGCTTAAAATAGGGATAAATAACAACATACAAAAACTGTTGTTTATACCTACATTAAGCAACACTTTTAAAACTGTTACAAAAAGAGAACTGTTGTGTAAGGAAAAAAATATTGTAGTGAGGCATAGATATATATATATATATATATAGTATTATTTATAGGGCGGAGAGAAAAGATTAATTTTGATGTTATTTATAAGGAACTTCTCTATTATATATATATATATATATATTCATGTTTACAATTATGTCCTTATTAATGCTAGGAAAAATTATTAAAAGTAATTCTTTTGGCTCTTAAACGGGTACAATTGAAAAATTATTAAATTTTAAGATATAGTTAATAAATTTTTTAAAGTTTTCCTTAGTTCTAATTAAATATATTGAAAATAGCTTGTGAATAAAATTTAAAAAAATATACAATATCTCCCACACGACCTGCTATCAAAGAAGTTAATTTATTGGGGTAGAAAAGAAGTTAATTTATTACTTTTTGAGTTGATAATTCGTATATATGGTTCAATTTAATTTTCACACCACTGATAAAATAGCTAATTTCTTACCATTATTTTACCTAAGTAATTGATACCATGTATGTGAAAGAAAAATATCAAAATATTGTATGTGTATGCTAGCATGTTCTTTTTTTTTTTTTTGGATAAGAAATAGACGAGCCTAAACTCTAGACTTAGTTACAGTACAAGTGCTATCCATGCAACGTCTTTGACTCTCCGTGGGCGTATGCTAGCGTGTTCTGATCTGCATATAAAAAAGTTTTCGTCCACATCAAAAAGAAAAAAAAAAGTTTTAGATATTGAAGATATAAAGTTTAGACTTACACTAAACAATTAATATGATTTATTATCCTTAAGAAAAAGTGTCCCAACATTTCTTCCCTTCTAGATGATAATAGAAAATAAAAAAATTTTAATGTGTTTTTAATAAGCAAAAGAGTTCTTCAGGACTTTTTATGGAAGACTTTTCAAAATAGAAGCGTCTAATAATTTGACTTCCAAATCCAATTTTACACTCCGAAAATTTTAATTTCTATCAGCATTCAATTGCAATGGGAAAAAAATGAGGATTAATGCAATAGATCTCATGATTATATAAATTTGAATCACAAAAACCTTATATAAAACTTTAATTAATCATCTGAGTATAAATTACTTTAAAAGACCTTAATTTTAAAATGAAAAGAGTGACACAATTTTGAAGTGTAAAATATTGATAAAAAGGTGTAGCCAGAAAATATTTAAGAAATCCTCACAATTCTAATCAATGAATAAAATGTTTAGTGTCGACCAAAATTTTCAAATAGAAAAACAAAATAATTTTCAAAAAAGGAAAAAAGAAGTAAAGAGGGAGAAAGAATGGGATTGATGAAGTGAATTTTGGTGCCGAAGAGTTCAACATGAAGACATTATAGGGGATAGTTATCGCAAGTTTTGCGCCCAATGTGTCTCCACCTTATTTTATGATATATTATAAATCTACACCGTGATCTCAACGTTTCATTAGAATCTCTTACCTTACATTGCATCCTGAAAAGATTTATTACTTGGAAAAATTTTAAGCACTTGCTCAACACGGTTGCAAAATATATATATTTATGATTCTTTTTTAAACTCTCTTCTTTCAATATCAATCTAAAAGTTGGATATCCATGCACAGTACTTGGATAGTAAACTACCAAATATGCCCCTGATTTCTTTCCTATTAGGCTATCTTGTGGAGTTCCTTATTTGCACAGTAAATTACCGAAAATGCCACCTGATCCTATTCAACCATCAATTGATCCTATTTTTCTTTGTCTTCACGCACGATCCTATTTTTCTTTGTCTTCACGCACAATTTTTCTTCCTCTCCACATCCGTCTCCTGCATTTTGCAGGTGCCTTGGTCCCCAGTTTTGCTCCCTAAGCTCCCGAGTTTTGCAGATGCCTTGATTGAAATTTTACCTATCATATTTTCCTTTGTATCTGTTCCTTGCGTGTTAAGGGAACCAGTTCCTCGTGTATCGAGTGCTCGTCGCTAACTTACTATCATCATCAGGTTCGCTGCAAGGTGATTTACTTGGGCGGCAAGCTACATTGTCACCTGGGGGTTGATTACTCTTCATTGTGTTTTTGCCGCCAGCTGGTTCAAATTCAAATTTTACGTCGTCCGTGTTTATTTATTTCTTTCCTGGGTCAGGGTACCAAGGGTGTGCATTCTCATGGTGTTCTGAGTTTGGTGTGCTTTCTCCGTTTGGGTGTGTTCTGCTGGTCAACTTTTACTCGGGGTTCTGTGCTTTGTAGGGGAAGGCACTTTGTCATTTGTGGTGGGTCTGGCGGTTCGTGTTGTTTTACTTGGCCATTCATGATGACCGTGTTGTTCTGATTTAAGTCTTTGGCCGCGATTTATTTCCTTTGGTTTGCCTATCATTGTCCTCGACCATCAAGTCACTCTCTCCATCGTGTAAGAGATATTCTACGTCCCTCTTAGGTCACCGTCACAACAGCAAAAGGCAAAGGGATTGAAGTCGCTCACCCTGTTCTAACTCTACCAGCACCAGGTCTTCTTTCTAATTCAGAGAGATGGATTCGTGTTTGAAACGTCTTCCCTTGTGTTGGTATTTCTATGAATTTTAGAAATTCTTAATTGTGCTTAATTTTAATTAAATTGGGGTCTAGGATCTACTATTTGATTTCAATTGAAGTAAGTGCTCCCCAAGTCATAAGCATTGAAGAACACGATTTTTGGTTAAAGCCATAGGTGTGAGTTTATATTTGTGCAACTAGGGTTTTTAGTTAAAGCCATGTTGCATTCTGATCTTTCCTTCCTCAGCTTCCCCCTTAAATTGAAAATCACAAATTTTGAAGTTTGTTCTACAACTTTTGCGGGAGATGGGATTGATATTTTGATCATTTTGATTCTTTAGTCCTTATGTTCTCCTTACCCGCGTGCTACGAAATGCCACTAGCATCAATGATTGGTCTAGTAGAATAGGGAAATTTTCTTTCGGTCAAAGGATTTTATTTCTATTATTATAGGTATCAGTATCATTTGAATATTATGTGATTTCATAATTCAAAATTTGTTTGCTTTTGCTCTGCTGTGTTGTTGTGACATCGTTGACTAGACATAGATCTTGTAACAATGTTCCTCAGCCTCATGCTATCCTATATTACTCTCAGCGAATGACCCAGGGGGGTTCTTGTGATAATTGAAGCTAATGGTGTTTCTAACACTGCTCACGAATAATTTGTACACTTTATTGTTCCTTGTGTTAACTTTATCTCATTTTGCTAATGTGTTTCACAAAATGTGTTTCATTTTTTGTTTTTCTGTTCTCGGTGAAGCTATGTTGATACACCTAAAGTATGGACAAAAGAACAAGTGGAAGCATGGAAGCCCATTGTGGATGCTGTTCGTGCCAAAGGTGGGATTTTTTTTTTTTTTTGGTTATATCTGGCACATGGGAAGGGTTTCATATTCAGGGTTTTTCCCCAAGTGTGTCTCTGATTTGAGAACAGTACCTAGAAAATATCTTGTCTTTTCTATTGAGTGAACAAGATATTTAACATGTTTCAATAGATTATCACTTTGAATGGCCTAAGACCATGGTCCATGCCAATTTGAGCTATACATTCCTGGGAAATGATTTTGTATTATTTTGAGCTTATGCTGTCTTCTTCTCTACTCTTTATTTAAATCTTTGGACTTTTAATGAGTATGGATTTCATCCGGTTTCTGAACATCATTGCTGTAAAGGTTGGTCAATCTATTAAAAACCTAGACGATCAAAGTATATTATGCTCAGTGGCAAGGTAATTCCAAGTGGAAACTAACTGTTGAAGTTTAACTTTTAGAAAGAACTGTTGCAGACATTATACATGATTTTTGATGACTCAATTTAGTGTAAAGACTATAGATAGACTTGGGGAACTTGTTTGCTCCTCCTTCCCTTATGCAAAATAAATGAATAAAAAGAAAATGTGAAATAAAAAATAAAATTTAAAAGTTCTCATTTTTTTGGATTTTGGTGGGAACTTTTATAGCGGCATTCCCTCTACCAAAACATAACTTTTCTAAATCAAATGAACTACATCTTTTCTATAGAAGCATTGCTGTATGTGCATCTTTTCCGCCAACATTTTAAACGATTCATGGGTGATGTTCATAAGTGAGAAATATGGGAGGGTCTCTAATTATAATCTTTTATTTAATATTTAGCAACGTTCAAATCCTTGAATTCTATTTAGGTTATAACCCTTGTATGTCTATTCAACACATATGCACTTCCACCTCCACTCTATTGTATCATCTGTACTTATTATCGATATCTCTTCAAAATTTCTGTGGAATAGAATAAATTTGTTGTATATGTTTAGTATATCCCCATCTTACATTGTTTTAAACACGTTTTCAGCTAAATGGGCTTGCATAGACAAAGGACTGTTCCCACAAATTCGAAGCAATGGCATTGATGTTGCACAATATACACCACCACTAAGGAGGCTGAGGACTGATGAAATTCCTCAAATAATCAATGTTTTTAGGCTTGCTGTGCAAGAAATGCTATGGAAGCCAGTGCCTTAACCAACCAAAAATGTTGTGAAAAATCAATTTACTTCAACCATAATCTATATGAACAATACCTGGAATGGCAGGATATAATTATATTATGTCTTTTTTATTGCATTGGTTCAGGTTATAATTTAAAGGCTTTAATACAATTGATTTGCTTTTTCAAGTTTCATTAAAGGTTCAATTTTGTCCCTCTAAACTAAAAGTTGGTATTGACAATGATGCTCTCCTATTTTTTGAAATGATCCAATTTTTTCCCATTGTTTCATTAGTATCCTAGATGTAATGTCAAACTTGGATGCCAAAACTGTTAAGATAAGGGTGCCAAGTAATAAATAACATCTAAATTTGCAAATGGTTAGATTTTGTTTTACTTTTAAAAGGGATAAAGGAGCACAATGGAAACATTTTATAACTGTAGAAGTTTAATTAGATAAGATTGCTGGTATAAATCTAAGGTGTAGAACATTTAAGTCTGATTTAGAACTTTTACATATTAGTTATTGTTTGTTTGTTTGTTGTTATTAACATTTATGACTAAATTAAATTGAAATTGCTATTTAAATGCATGCTATCATTGCGTAAAAAAATTTTGGTCTTTTATTCTACCATCTAAAATGATGAAAGCCTTACAAAGAAGTTAGCATCTTGCATGAGAGCTTTGTAGATATCAGTTAATCAACATATGGCTATGGAAGAGGAGAAGGTGCGTGTGTGTGTGCGCGTTTTTTTTTTCTTTATTCCACTTTGACTCATAGTGAGAAAACATAGAGCTAATTGAAAGATTCATTATGTACTTTATATTTAATGTTTTATAAACTGTCTTTTGTTTTTGTTTGATGACTATTCACTTGTGAATCACTTGAAGCATATCATACCCATTACTTTCGTGGACTAGTCTATGATGTTGGACATGACCTTGAAGATTGTTACTATGCAAGGTAGGTCTTACTACAACTTTCAATATGAAAAGAGAGTGTTAGGTTCTGTGTTGTTTTCCATTTATTTTCCTACATCTTCATCAGAAAGCTGTCTTGCATTCGTTTGTTGAATAAGCAAGAAACAAAATTAACTTCCATAGTCTTATTTAGTAAACTATTGAAACCGGCCAAGCATGTTGACACCAACTGTAGTCTGCATTCATGATCTAAACATGGGTGCTTTTTTATATTTCGATTGAAAGTCACAGAAAAATATGCATGAAGTTGTTTTCATGTCATAGAACAAAATCTACACAACAATTTTCTTCCTTTGGCAAACTAATTCTTTACAGAACTTCAAGGACAATCCACTTTTTGACATTCACACCGAGCGTCCAACTGCATAATATGAGTCTACGAGGACATGCAGTGAGCCGTGTTTTGTTTGTGCCCACTTGGTTGGCTCCTTGGAGCCCAAGATTGGTTGAAGCTTTCGTGTGTGGTTGCATTCTCATTATCATTGCAGGATAATATTGTTCCGCCATTTGCTAATGCAATGTCATGAAAGAGATTGGTGTGTTTGTTGACGAGGAAGATGTCCCTAAGTTGGGATACCATACTCACATCTATGCCCCCAGAAGGCCAGAAGCAGTACTAAGAAGTAGAGATTGCTTGCTAACCCTTCAATGGAATAAGCCATGTCATTCCCTCAACCTGCTCAGCCAAGCAATGCATTTCATTAAGTTCTAAGTGGACTTACTCCTAAGCCGCGACATGACAAGATTATAACTTGGGCAGATGATCTTTTTTTTTTTTTGAAAAATGTGCACAAATTGATATTCGTTGCAATCATTCCTTTTGGCTAACTAACTTTTAGTATACGTGAAAGGAAATTGAATATTTTTAAACAGGCCAATTCAAAAATTGAACGCACGTGCTCTACTTTAAAAATTTAAATTATGACTGCTATGTGTATGTACTTTCATCATCACACCTTTTAGTTGGTCCTCCTTTGTTCCAGTATATTGTAAGTGTCTTTCGAGATCTTCACAAAAACTATAGCCAAAATGATTGTTTTACTACGTTTGGAACTTAGAAAATGCTTTAAAATTAGACCATAGATTAAAAATTAATAATTCCTATAATAATTTCAAGTCATACAATAGTTTAACCTTTTATGTCCATGCCCCTTCAAATTAGTTAAGATTATTAATGTGTTATTGACAATCCAACTAATTAAACCATGGAATTGAGTATTAAATATTCTTAAAATTTTCACTTTAATGATGAAATAAGTTGTCAATATAACAATAAGTGAAATACGATGAATAATTGGGAGTATTTTTTAACTAACAGTGTTCAATTATAACTAATGGCATCTGATGAATATAAGGTTTGAATACATAGTAACTGGGAGGATTTTTTATGAACCAAGGGAATTAGTTTGCAAATATTTGGAATTGTTTATAGAATGGATTTATTGTTCTTCGATTAAATGTTCTTCCATTAAAGATCAGTGTACCAATCCCTGAATCAAATGCAAAGAGTTTTCCTTCATTAGCAAGTATGATGATGGTATTCAAAATAATTTTGATTTTGTCATTGGAAATCAGTTTGTTGCAGTATCGAGTGGACCAATTTTTTAAAGCATTAGGTTGTGAGTGTGCTCCTCAGGGGTGCCTTCAGTATTTTTTATTACTCCTTTAGCCATTTCTTGTGTGTTTGGACCGAAAATGTGGAAATGGCAAATTCCATTATTGTTCAGTTTATTTTTTGGGATCTTTCTTTTTCAATATCCATACTTTCTAAATTTGTAGGATAATACTCCCTTTTCAATATCATGATTACGATAGTATTCACATATCTATCATGAATTAGGTAACCAAACTTGGTTATACTTGTAACGTAATGGTTTATTGGTTCCATTACATCTCTAGGTCTTATGAAAGTAGAGTGATCCAGATTAATTTTTTTATTCAAAATAAAATTAATATTTGAAAAGTTTTGTGAAATATATATTCAAGAAAAAGATTGAGATTTGAAATAGAAGAGTTGGGTTGACTTTAAACATAAACATGGTTAATATGTATTGCATCAAATGTCAATTACTAAGGTCCCGTTTGCTTACTAAAAATGAATGAAAGAGAATGGATTGAAAAAATAAAGGTAAAAATAAGATAATAAAAGGGGATAAGTGAGTGTATTTATAAAGGAGAGGGGTAATTAGTTTATGGAGTTGGAAATCATGATTCATGATATTTTTGGAGGGTGTGATGATTTTTACATTTATAATATATATTAATAAGTTTTATCATACTTACCATAAGATCATGGTGATTTAGTCCATTTTTATCTTATTTTTTTTAATTCATTCTATTCAATTTCATTCATTTTTAATAATCAAACAGGACCTAAGGGTGAAAGTATGTTCTTTTACAGGGGATTTTTAACATTTTGATCACGATTTAACTATACACTAATGCAGAATTTGTCTTTTATAAGGGATTTTTAACATTAGTTAAAATACACCTACTATTGAAAGTAGAGGTGGTGGCATTTTGATAATATTTACTGTCAATGTAAGAATTTTAACATCAATTAAAAATTTAACCACTGTACAAAACTTTTAACACTAGGTCTAATTTAACCTGATATTAAAAAATTTTAAAAAATGAAAATAAAATAAAATTTTAAACTTTCAATAGCAAGTGACATAACACCTGCTATTGAAAGTGAATATTAATTAAAAAAGCTTAATTTTCTTTTTACTTTCAACAACGGGTGCCACTCACTCACTATTGAAAGTGGGTATTAATAAAAAAATTAAATTTGATCACTTTCAATACGCATGCACCCACTATTGAAAGTGGATATTAATTAAAAAAAATTGAATTTGTTTACTTTCAATAGTAGGTGTGTGGCACCTGCTGTTGAAATGGGGTATTAGTAAAAAAAAATTAAATTTTTTTACTTTCAACAACAAGTGCCTTGTGACCCACTATTGAAACGTATTCAAATATATAAAAAGAAAAGCCCGCCTCCCCACCCTCTTTCTTCCTTCTTACCCTTCATCTTCTTCCTCCTCAATTCTCTTCCTTGCCGTTGCCCCCTTCCCTCCCCCTCATCATCGCCACCCTCCCCACTCCCTTGTCATCGCCTCCCTCCCGCTCCCCTCCCTTGTCACCCCCTCCCCCTCCCTTCCACTGTCGCACCCCCTACCCCTAGCCCCCTCCTTATCTATCATCCCCCTCCCCCTTCCCTTTCTTGGCCCCCTTCTCTCTATCCCTCCATCGCCCCTACCCCCTCAATTGCTCCTCCTCCATTGCCTCAAGTACCTTTTTTCATTATTAATTTATATGTATTAATTATTATTTAATTATAGTTTTATTTTTAACTATTGTTTAAATAATTGTCATTGAATTACTTTTATTATTACTTTTATATAAAGTTGTTGTTGTTGTTGTTGTTGTTGTTATTTTTGGATGTCTAATGTTATTGCTGGGAGTGCTATTAGTGGCTTCATAAAACTTTAGGTGTTGCATGTGATTATTTATTTAGTGTAAAATTATAAATTTTTTTTTTTGTAAAATTTTTGGGAGGTCCAATTTTTAAGAGAGACTGTAAAAGTTTTTTTAAATCTATTATTTTCCCTAAAATACTTAAAATCATAGATTAATTATGAATTTACATTTTTTGAAATAGTTTGAAGATGACAACATGCATATTAGTTTTATTCTCCTCTAGGTAGTAACATATGGATCATAGTTAGATGAATGCTAGATGAACAAATGTTATGTTTAATAATGGGGTGAAGGAATTTTTAGAATTTGCTAAGAAAAATGTTGTTGGCAATAGTAGAATGTTCTATTATTTTTGTGTAAATTTCTTGAATGAGAGGAGACTAAGTGTTACTAAAATAAGAGAACACTTGATTTGTGATGAGATTTGCAAGAATTATACAGTATAGATTTGGCATGGTGAATAATTGAAAAACCGTAGTGGTACGTCTCAATATGTGAAAATTGATAATAATCTTGATGATAAAGTAGATGGATGAAGATCAGTTAGAGGACATGATCCATAATATTAGGGAGGAGGCCTTTAAATGAGCATATGTGTATGATAACTTGTGCACTGATGCAGAGAAGCCTTTATAGCTGAGGTGTATTGATTTTAGTTTGTTGTTTGGGGTGTTAAAATTAGTTACATTGAAGGCAAGAGTTAGGTGGAGTGATCAGAGTTTTATATGGTTGCTAGAGTTACTCTAAATAATGCTTCCAAAAGAAAATGTACTACTAAATCATTATTATGATGCTAAGAAGATCTTGTGCCCAATGGGTACAGATTTTAAAAAGACACATGCATGTCCTGTGAGACACCACAGTACAAAGAGAAGGGGGCTCCTGTAAAGGTCTTGTGGTATCTTCTGATTATACTAAGGTTCAAGTGCTTGTTTGTGAATGCTAATTATATAAAGAACTTGAGGTGGCATAGAGATGAAAGGATTTTTGATGGAAAATTTTGACACCCAGCCAATTCTCCTCAGTAGAAGAAAATTGATCAATTGTTTCTTAAATTTGGCAATGAACCAAGGAACCTGAGGCTTGGACTTTCTACTAATGGAATGAATCCTTACAGTAGCCTTAGCAATATACATAGCTCATCGCTTGTTCTTTTGGTGATTTATAACCTATCACCTCGGCTATGCATGAAATGAGAGTATATGATGCTATCCATGTTAATTTCAGGAACAAAACAACTTGGAAATGACATT